AGCAGAGGATGGTGGGTGGGGATCTGAGGCTCTGTTCAGGCTCTAATGAGGACGGCCCTGAGAGTTCACAGGACCTTTGGAGTCTTGGGTGGTGGAGGTTGAGAGCCAAAGCCGAACACTTCACAGGTCGGGCCTTGTTCTTAATGTCTGTTATATTGCCCTCGGCATGACATCACTAATAACTTACACAACACTGTGGAGAGATAAGTATGTAGATAAATGCCTCTCTTTCTCTCCCATTGTATATCTGGATGACATCCTAAGACAGATACGCCCTATCGCCCATATCTTACTCAACATCGCATACATGTAGATACAGAACGTACATGGAAAATGTACTCCTCTCTTCGCTCTCCCTGCGACGTGATTGCATGCCGTACCTTCAGGGGCAGGCTGATTTATGAGACACATGCCTGTTTTTTCATGACTTGTTTGATTGCATTCTCAGCTATCGGGCACTTAGGTTGCCAAACCCATAAAAATTCACACCTGCAAAGGTTTGCTGCAGAGTCAGATGAAGCGTAGGCAGAGCATGAGGAAACAGGTGATCCGAGGTATTTTGCTTCCCCTTGATCAGAACATCTTAAAATCAACATAGGTGATTGATTGATGTTCCGTTTCATTTCACTTTGAAGGGCATGGCACATATTTTCTTGACGATTCTTAATGAACTGTAACAATGTTGCTTTTATCAAATCTTGGTGACACTTCTTTATCTTTTCTTATCTATTTTCTATCTGTCTTGATGTCATTATAAACCAACATATAAGTTGTTACTATCTGCTCATAGCACTCAAAGTTATAAATGCGTGTAAATAGTCATAATGCTTAAAACCAATATTCATATGCAAAGATCATGGTGTCTTATTATTCTTTGCATTATAATCTGTAATGCATTGTAATCACTGTCATATTGCATTATATTTTGATGTAAATTCATCTTAAAATGTCATTGTTTGCTTTAAGAAAAGAAAGTGAAATAACTAAATATAATCTGTTAATTTCTCTTTTTTATTTGCAAAAAACAAGATACAAAATATTACATAAATATGGTACTCTTTCAGGCAAAAGGTTAAGCTTTGAGTTAAACTTTAGTTTTTAAATACTATGTTATATATGAGTTGTAGTCTCTACACAATTGCACTATAAACAGATTTTATTTTATTCTAGACTTAGATTTGATGAAATTCTAATTGACCTCAACGAAAAACCTCAACGTAGGATTGTTTAAGGGCACAATGTTAGTATTTTATAAAAAAAAATAAAAGGACACATTTGATATATTTCCATCAGCGTAGCATGACCCCACCCTTATCCTAAAATGATGTCCTCCTCCTGAGTCGAGCATCCCGAGCTGTCTAGCCACATGTTGTTACAAATGACCTCCTGTAGCATAATGCAATAAGCGTTGTCTCTTATCTGCGTTCTCTGGGTTCTTTTTCACTTGGCCTGACACAATTGTGCATTTATCAGTGTAATTGCAAGAGTTGGAAGCACTGATGTTGTCTATTAGGCGGATTTCCATCCTGTTAAGAGCAGAGGGCCTTTTAATGTATGGCCCTGCTTGAGTGAACTGCTACACAATTACACGGCGGCCAGAGATTGAGTGTGCTGATGATGCTGATGGTTGTGATGCCTGCGATGGTGGTGATGGCACTGATGATATTGGACCACCCTGCACTCTTCTAACAAGCCTTTCAGAGAGAGAGAGTAAGAGTGAAACACCAAAGTGAAACCGAGGTTAATCATTTTATTTACTCGTTTTTCTATCCCTCTCTCTTTCCCTCCTCCTCCCTCTTCCTCTCCTTTTCCTTTCTGTAACCGAGTGATGTGGAGCAGGGGCGGCAAAAATCGATGGCGAGCGCATTACAGTAAAACGTATTGATTAGGAGACCTGCGAGCAGTGTGTTGGTCGCGGAGATGGTGGAATGATGCAATGCTTAAAGGAATTTATCCTTTGACTTTTACATTAACCTTTTATTGACTGCTTTGCCTGTCCATAATTAACACTCACTTTAGCTAAAGTGGTTAGTTTGAGCGCAAAGGGGGCTCCGGCCCTTATTGCAGCGAGGGGCCGTCTGAGCTCGCGCCCCAGCCGCAGTTCAAGTGCACTGTGCTGCATGGAGGGAGAGGCCTCTGTGGAATAGAGGCGATAGAATCCTAGATACCTTTCACATTAGCATACCATTTGAGCGGGGGCCTGCCAGGCTATAAGGTTTCAGGGCAAATTGAAATGAGTGATTGTGTTGCCAATCTCTCTTGACCGAGCGCCAGATGGGATAGTTAGGCCCATATCTGTCTGGGGTTAATCCATTGGAACAGCCTGGACTCACAAACACATTCGCTCCGCCCACAACAAACCTCTTTGTCTTTGACCTTAACTTTAAGGTGGGCTGTTGTGCCATGGGAAAGTCTTTTGGTGAGCCTTGTTTGTATGCCACTGTGGCTTACACTGAATTTCTAGCAGGAGCCCTGGAGAGCTTAAGGCACCTCGCTTGATATTGACTTTTTGTTTGGTTCCATTTTAGCAGTCGAGGGACGCCACTCAGCGAACAGTGGTAAATTGTGTAAAAGTGTGCGCTGAATTACCTACACTATATTATCTTTGATAGTCTCCCAGTCTTGATATCTTTTTATATCTCCCGGTAACCCAGGAGCCTTCGATTTGCAAGCTAATGTGCAAGATCCCCTGTCAGATAAATGCGGCAGCTCTGTTGGTCGGGTTTTTGCCGTATGTAGCCTTTCAGAAGAGTCAGGGCAACAGAAAAGAGGCGAGTGTTTTCTCTCATAGCTCTACGGCATGAATACGTAATCAGACCAAATCAAAGGCCTGGGTTCCCTTGGCCTGTGGTGTCCTCAAGCTGATGTCAGCAGAACCACACAGTGTGTGAGTGTGTGCTGTCTGGGTCAGTTTGCTTTCTCTCTCTCTCTCTTAGACACTCTGTAGATATGTATGCCAGCCATGTCCTCCTCCTCCTCCTCTTTCTCTGAAGTGGCGCTTCCTTTAATTCGCACCCTAAATAAATGATGAGAACATTTAAACACACGGCTCGTCGCAAAGCCCCAAGGTCGCCTAATCGTATTATTTATGAAGTGATGTGCTACATAATGGTACTTAGTGCATGTTAACAGATGCTATTATCAGGCCCTGATCCAGAGCGCAGAAGATATATTGGAACAGTGGATGTTAATGCTGCTCCTCACCACCGTAATGCAGCAGCTCTTTAAAGGGCTAACCGCACCAAAATGCAGCACTTAGGCCGAGAGCCAGTCCAACATTAAGTGGCTCCGGTGAAAATATATAACCACAAATTGTGGCAGCCCCCGGCTGTCCCCTGACAACTTTAACATCCCCTCAGCTCATCCATAACCGGGACCCTCATACCCTTCTCTTCAGCTCTCCGTGTCCTCTTCATCCCCTTCTGTAGTCGCTGGCCACAAGGTGGTGGTGGTCGTGTGTCTGTGTGTATCTCGGGGTTGATTGAGGGTTTTTTAGGGTGTGGGTAAGGTAAACGGATATGATAGGACAGACCCTGTAAAATGACTGATTGGGGAGTATAACTGGCCTTGTGGCTCTGGAAGGAAATGTTCGGCTACCACTCACAAGCACACACACACACATTACACACACACACACATTACACACACAAAGCACAAATGCCATCCTCCTCCTCTCCCTCTTGCACCTCCAGGTCAGGGGTCACTCCCATCTGTCAAGAGGCAGAGGGAGGGCAGATTTACAATGACAGCGGAGAGCAACACCAAGTCACCGCAGTAAATATTTACACTGGTCTGACAAAAGATGTGGCGAAGGTCTGTGGGGGTTCCAAACAGTGTAGAAATTACATCTAACCCCAGATTATTAATCATTATGAAAATCATGCGGCGACATGAAAAGGCTTTATTTCTCACGGCTCTGTCATGATTGCAACAGCAGAGAGTGATGCTCTTGTGAAAGCATCCTGCTGTGTGTGCCTGATGAATGGGGCATTACTCATGATACATGATATCACGGTTCCTCATCAGCTTGATCCTGTTGCTGCCATTTATGGCTCTTGAAACGCATTCCTGACGCATCACTTTCTCCCTGTCTCTCAGCTCCATTTAGCTCACTGGTTAGAATGTTTTGAAGGGAAAAGAAGGAAGTTCAAGGTGCACAAGATCAAACATGTCAATCTCATTAACAATATAAGGGAAAGACAATGACATGTCAAGCATTTCAATGCAATATAAAATATATTCCACTTTCCTTTGTACACACAGACACACTTACCCTCTCATATCCTGGAGGTCCTTATTGAGCCCACTGTTATAAGGTGTCATAAAAAGGAGAGGAAACACACAAGCCGACTGCCTTCTGGACATACACACATTTACCACTGTGTTTAGGCACAGGCGCACACACACACATACACACACACACACACTCACACACAGACACTTACACATACACACATGAATGACTTTACAACTTGACATTTCTGGGGCTGACCCCTTTAAAACTCCCATCAGTTAATACAGAGAGACTCGTAAGAAATATTTCTGTTTATCTTCACCCAGTACAATCCCTTTTTTTTTGGTCAACTATCACTTATTCCTAAGCATTCGAGGTTAAACACAGGGTTTTATTTAAAGTTACAAGTTATAGAAGGCCTTTGTAAGAACGAGAACGCGCACTACATTCTGCTTTCTATAAATAATAACTAAACATAAAACTATAGCAGTCCATAAGCAAAACAAAACGTTACAAAAACTATATAATTATAATTCATTTGAGTTAACTTAAAATAATATGCAATTGGCTCACCAAGCCATAAATAATTACCTTAAAATAAGGTGCCTAAATGGCTCCTACATGAGTGTTCCCCAAATATTTCTAAGAAAAAATCGTAAAATAACTGCGCTGAGCCGTGTGCCCTTCTGATGAGTGTCTCCCAGTTGGTTTTGACGGGAGGGAGGGTTTAATGGGTGCGCTTGTTTCCTGTGTCCTGTCGCCTCAGGTGCCACTCCAGTCTGGCCCAGACGTTACCCCCCGAGGAGGCCCCGGTGGACCGGCCCTTCTGGGGTGTGGATGACCCCAGCATGCCGCTGCCCTTTGATCTGGCTGACATCATCAACAGAGTGGAGTCGCTGCTCTGGAGGTGGGCCCGACATGTTGAAGTGTGGAAATGTGCTTATGTACGCGTTGTAAACATGCATAGCTCATAAAGCATGCATTCATTCACAGGTGGCAACTTGTTTATTCTTTACTCACTCTGAATGTCAAGGTTGTGATTGTTGTTGTTTTTTTTTCATTCCTACATATATTCACTCAGAAAGTTGGATACTAGTGTGACTATTTATAGACCAATGCATGAGTTAAGAGTTGAAGTGTCAATCAGAAAATTGTATAATAACTAATAAATAGTATAGTATGTTGATATTGAGCATGTTAGGATGTGCATGCATAGCAACATATGCCCAACAAATGGCCCAAAGTAAGAGTGAACTAAAACTACTTTCTACAAAGGAAAAGGACAAATATTTTTAATTACTGTGAAGGACAGCCACTTTTAAAGCTTTGGGAGCTGCGCCAAGTCTCTGAAAAAGTGTGTCCTGGTCTTGACAACTTGACGTAGAGAGACACACAACACACACATTTGCGGTCACACCTACTTACATACATTTACACTCTATCAATCCACTCAACAAGTTGTCCCAGACTCCTGTGGTAGAGGTATAGCAATTTAATAGTGTTGGTATTTGGCGTGGCCAATACAATGTCTGTCTTTCTCATGTTAAGCAAGGCAAGTTTGTTTTTGTAGCACCTTTCAACACAAGGCTATTGAAAGAAAACTAACATAAAAAGCATTTAGATTTATTGTTAAATTATAATACCCTTTAGGCCTGCATTAAGTCAATTCCAACACTTGTTGTCACTTAGCAAGCCTTTGATTGGACAGCATAAAAACCCAAAAAGCTTTACAATATATGCTTACAGTTACATCTAAAAGTTAGGAGGCCTCATGTCCAGTCATGACGTTTTTTTTTAAATGACAAAAATATATATAATCATCGCCTCTTTTTTGGTTTTTCCAACAGGATGTGAGGAATGAATAGATGTGAGAAAGTAAAGGAAAACGAGAAAAAAAACACCAGCTTTTTTGGAACGGCCCCAACAACAACTGACGGGAGATACCACTGAAGACACCTCTGTTGTGATTCCACCAAGATTCATTTCCTTTTCATGGGTTCATCTACATCCCCCCACTCCACCCTCGACTACCCTAGTTGACCTCGACATCTGTAGTCAACCCTGAGCTTTTTGATGGCTGGAACGAATCCAGACCACCTCAATAGAACCAGAATAGTGCTTCAGTATCATGCTAACATGCTAACCAAGCTTAGCGACAACCTCCTAGAATCACAGCGGTCTAACGAAACATAAGCGAACCTGCATTTCAGTGTTAGCATACATTGCTTAACTATTTATTATTTCAGTGTATTCTCTTAGTTAATCTCATGTAACCCAGACCTGCTTTTATCAATAGATCGACTCATTCTCAGCTTTAACCGTACAGTACATACATATATGCTTTCTACTTGTCACGCAGTGTTATAATACAGTCTAGAATGGTTAAAAAAAACTCGCATAGTATATCATTCTCCACTTGTGTGTAGTGTAATCCCTTGTATTGTGTTCGGAAATGGAAAGAGCCAGAAGAGACCAAAGAAAGATTATTATAAGAAAGTTATGAATGTCATCGCATAGAGAAAATGAAGAATGTGATGTGTAGTGTTTACAGTGCGATAGTGTGTTCGTACCATATGGAGGCGTGGCAGTGTCTATGTGTGTGTTTGTATGTGTGCATTTAGCCGTGTGAATAGTAGTTGGCCTGTGTGTGTGTGCACGCTCACTCTCACCCACATGTCTACATGAAGGCGAGTGTGTGTGAATGTGATAGTGTGTGTGAGCCTGTAGGCAGCCTGCCAGTTGTTTGTTCTTGAAGATATTCATATGGAGAAACAGAGACTAGCAGCGGGGCCCCTGTGCCTCTGCTCTGATGAAAGGCAGCACTGATAGAATGACCCGGAACACAACCGCCGTTTCTCATAATTACAGCTGTTCAATGGCTTTTAATTACTCTTAAAGTGTGTAGAGCACCACGTTCCCCTGTAATGCTGCAGGCCATCCGAGGGAGCGGGAGAAAGATCCGGCACTTCTGACAAAATCCACTTTCAAAACAGCTAAAAAGGGGTGGAAAAGGGGCCGACGTCAAAGCAGTGTAGCAGCCCTCCTCGTTTGATTCCTTTCTCTATCTAGTTCATGATGAAGTAGAGACGCTGTTTACTATTAAAAATGCAGAATGCACTCCTTTTTTTTACTTCTGAAGTTGTTTCCAAGATGTTAATGGTTGCCAAACGCTGTTCTTCTTGCTTCTTCTTTTGCAGCGCCTCTTGTTTGTTGTTGTCAGAGAGATTTGTTTGTAGATCGGCAGTAGCGTTGACTTGTTTGAATCACTCTGTGCTCCCGCGCCACAGCTTGTCTGTCTGAAGCAATAGGAATGGCAGTAAATAAAAAAAACTGTGTTTTATCCAAACACCTGCGTCCTTCTGTTCTTTCTGTGCTACTGTCCATTCTTTTTTTTAACTTATGACAGGTAAAAAAGGATTATTCATACTGTGTTTGTGTGTTTTATTTTGGTGTTGATTGGTTTTATTTATCTGAATATTTTTGGACTCATACTTAGTCGAGCCATGAAACCATGTGTCTAATCTTTCTTCCTCTGAAGATAAGTTATTGTTCTCTGAAGTAGCCTCTCCCTAAATGCTTTCTTCCTCAAGATAAAGAGGACAGCAGTGGACAAAGATCCCTTTTCAGTGGTGTAACTCACAGGCAGCAAAATTAGCTCAAGTATATCCACAGCAGACCAAGGTCAAACACTGTTTACATGCACAGTAGGCCTATAAATAATTTCTAATATTTGAATGAATTTGCTGTGAGTGCCCGAAGGGTCAGGTTTATTGTATCAGGACAATTTACAGTTCCAGTGTCACACACAGGAATGTGTCCAGAACTTATATACACATAAATACATCCCTGTTAATTTCCCAGGGGGCAAACAATGATTGGTTTTCCAAGGAGGTTAAACATAAGCAAATAAATGTGAGAAAAGCGTATTTGACTATCACTAACCTTGCGCTGCTTTCGTTTAACATGCTGTCACATCTCCACAAGTTCCAGGGCAGACCTTCCATTGCTTACTAATAGAAACAATTTCCATCCAATTGAAATCTAGTTTGAATGCAACCATCTTAAATCATACAACTATGCAATTTAGACCAAATATGGTAATCATCAACAGTGCTGCATCATTCAAGGATTTGTCTTGAATTAGTTGGGTCAGTTCCTGTTTGTGTTTAGTTAGCTGCATGACACCAGGGCGGAAGTGTTTCTCTGTCACTCTATGCCTTTGGTCAAAACATTTGTACTGAAAGTCATGGTCGCCAGAGGATAAATCATCATGATTTAGCTGAATCCCTGGCTGTTCTTAGCTAGATTCAAATGTTTTGGTTTTATGTGAAGTTCCTCAACAACCATAGGAAAGATTTGTCAAAGTATTTGGTACACACAATCATGTCCCTCACAGAATGCATTGGAAGAACTTGGTGATCCCTTTTCCTCTAGCGCTATCTAAACAACATTTTAATTTGGGTGCTACTTAGAAAATGTTGCCATGCTAACACGGCAAATGTTGTAAGTGTGTTAGCATGCTGATGCTAGCATTTAAGTATCAAGTATAGCTGCTAGCATGGCTGTAGACTACGTGTCTGTTTCAGTGGCGAGCCGTCAGGGCCCTCTAGGCCCTCTGTGAGGGCCTAAGATATTCCAAAAAATAATATTTAAAAACATTAAAAAAATATATATTTTTTTAATATTATTAATATTGTTTTGATATTCCGCTGAAGTATACGCTGTGACGTAATAACGTCTTTTTTTCGAGGGAAGGGGTGGGGGTCAGAGGGCCTAGGTATAAAGCTCACCGCTCGCCACTGGTCTGTTTATTACATTTGCTATGTGCATCTGCTATACTCAACAAGGAAGTATTTGCATCAGGTTTGTTTGTTTTTTCTCCAGCCTTCTGTGTTCTCTCTACTTCAAAGGAGCCAGCTGGATTAGCAGAGCAAACAGCTTCTATGACAGATTGATTGATGGATTGATTGATTGAGTGATGTCAGTCCCAGTGATGAAGTGATGGCTAATGTTCTGTATGTGTTTCCAAAACCTCCACTCTACACCAATACCAACAGTGGACTGCCATCCCGAGGTCGCCCATGTTAACCACTTCCTGTAGTGGTTGAGTGACTGAGTGATGGATGAGTTTGGAGCGCTCTCCCCTCAGGGGCCTGGACTAGAAAAAGGGCCCCACTTGAAGAGACAATTACACAGTGCTGGTGAGAGCCACAGGTATGCATTGTTCTGACTGGGGTCAGCCGCCAGCCAACCAGCCAAGCCACCCTCAATTAGGCCAACAATAGGTGCAGGCAGAGATAAAATAACCAGGTGTGTGGTGGGGAAAGGTATCGGTTTGGGGTCATTTCCCAGTCAAATGTTTCAGTGGGTGGCTATGGGGCCTGGGTTGATTGTAGTGCAGATTAATGAAATCAGGAAATGGATCTCAATTGTCTCTATTTCCAATTTGTAAAGTAGGGTGAAGGAATGAAACAGATTTATTATGTTATGTTGGGTGGATAATGGCTATCAATGTCAGTGAAGGACACTTTACGCAAAGAATGAAGGAAATCTGACCTTAATCGTAATGTCATAATATATAATGTTATATTAGATTGCATAGACTTTGCACAAGTATAAGATTGCATAAATTGTACTTGATATTTGTTGATGCATACTTTTGTGTTTTTCTACAATGCACGCAGCAGTATTTGTGTTGTGTTTGTATGAGAAGGAATACATGTGTAAAGGTCTCCGAGCCTGTTGTTACAAAGGAATATATGTGTGTAATGTGTCTCAGTGGGAGTGTGTGTCTGTCCCAGGTTCCAGAGTGCAGGCTAGTGTTGGAGGCCCCGGGGCCAGAGAGGTAGTAGTAATTGTAGAAGCCGGCTGCAGAGCTGAAGATAGCATCGCAGCTCTGGGGCGGCTGTCAGCAGTGGGACGGGCCACACTCATTTGTCACCAACACAGACAAACAGCACTCAGCACCTTCAAAACACTGACTTGATTGACTACATGTGAAGCAACACCAGCCCTAATGTTTTGCAACTGTTAATTGCACTAGAGGTCATAAAAAAGGCAGACCCCAGGAGGTTCCCTTCAGTTAAAATAAGGCAAGATTTACAGTGACACTTAAGGTCACACTGACAGGCATTTGTCTGTAATTCCTGCTGTCTGACTTACAGTACAATATGCAAATCTGTATTTTAAGTATGTTTGTTAAATACTACCTCGTTCGGTGTGTCTTCCATGTTAGATTTGAATGAATGCATTTCCATAAAATATGTGTATTAAATGGATTGTAATTAATAAATATCAAGCTACAATGAGATTTTCCAATATTTTTTAAAGTATGTAACTCCAAATCAAAATTTGTTTCGATATCAATAATCGGTGCAATACAAATATTTTTTCTTACTCAGTCCTTGGTCACACTTAACCAAGGGTCACCAGAGCAATTTTAAGGTCAATGGAGACTATTCCAGATAGATTTCTAAACTACAAACCAATCAATCATATAATGTTTTATAGTGCAATATGACACATTTCACCTGGAGCGCTTTACAATCTGTCCAGCATACAACACCCTCTGTCATTTAACCCTGGCAGCACACAACAGAAAACATGGCACTAAATAAACCCAATTAAAGGGGGAAATGTGAGAGCTACTGAGTCCATATGAAGCGCCTCTTCTTACAACCCAACTGTCCTCTCTGTCAGCGGCTGATCACTGCTGACATGCTCACTGCCTGCAGTTTACGGAGTGTTAGAGTGGAAGTGAAGCGATGGTGAAGTGTGGATGCTGATGTTGATGCTGTCAGGGGGCCTGGCAGCTGAGCGGCCCTGATGAGTAGAGGGGGATGGCATGATGAGTGTGTGTCTTTATGAATAGTGCAGGGGGGGGGGGGGGGGGGGGGGGGGGGGGTCTTGGCAGATCAAACAGCAGTCTGATCAAATGTAGAGCATGTTTTTGGGTCGTCGCTGTGGCCCTGGCTCCAGTGACCAGTGGCCCCGATATCATCCGTCCTGCAGGACCTCGCTCTTTTATCTATTTCTCTCTCATTTTCAATCTGAAGTGGCTGACCTAATTTTTGCCCACTTCTGTTCAAAATGTGCACTTCAGCTCGAGTCCAATCAAAATGAACACCCTTAAAAATTAAGGTTATTTTGGTCCATTATTTGAATTGCAGATAAATACAGGCTATTGGCTTTTCTGCCAATTTGGCTGTTAGCATTTCATCTGCTAGTAGAAATCAACTGGAGAGCCACTTTAACTTGTTATGTCATTCTCAGTAAGTCCCTTTCATTATTTTCTGGAATCATTTCAATTCTATCAGCTGTAAATAATGTAAAATGAATGAAAAAATCGTATTGAACATCAGAGTCTCGATGTTATCAACACCCTCAAATCCTTCTCTTCTTTACAGTCGCTCCTTCTTTCCCAAGGCCTTTCCCCTCTTCTCTTTTTCCCACCCTTCATATTCACTAAGCGTTGTTTTTACAGAGTGCCGATGATGCATCTCCGCTCATACCTGTCTCACTCTCTTACCGTTGCACGCCCTGTTAGCGCCCTGCCATTCATATCAGTGGGATTAAATGGATCGTTTTCCAGCGTTAGCAGCTTCTCCGCCAAGTGGTCTTGATGTCAGGCCAAGCGTAATTGAGGCATCTACATCTCATCTAAAATGGATGAAAGGATTTTTTGATATCGCCAGTCTATTACCCCCCCCCCCACACACACACACCCTACCCAGCAGGAGGGAGGAAAGGCTTAGGTTAGCATCACATCATTTTAGTAAAGATGGAGCAAGGGGCGAAAGAGGATAGGAATAATTTTAACACATTATGAGCTGTCGCTACTTGTGGAATGGCAACAAAGAAGACAGGTCAATAAAGTGACTTAAGCTAGTAAAACTAACTTATAAAGAAAAACAGTTGACCATAGATACCAATCTTAACTTGTCATGTTTTAAAGTCTGTCCCTTTTTATGACCTTCTCACATCTTCCTTGTTACTTTACTTTGCACTACAAAGAACATGAAGCTATGTCCTGCTTTGGCACTAACAGTTAACCTGCACAAACGACCAATGCTTGTTTTACCTGAGAGGACAGTTTATTTTGCATGGGAGCACAAGATGAGTGGCAATAATTACCCCACAAGGGATGCATTCCACCTTTAGGCAACAATGGACAAAGGAGAGTAGTGGTGTCATGCATGTTTTTGTCCAAATCTCTTTGATATAGTGGATGTAACAAATGGACAAAAGAACAAACAGAGACAACGACTAATCCTTAGATTTGCCAGATGTCAAAAGAGTTGAGACTGGAGGTCAAGATGAAACAAAGAATGACGTTTTGAAAAGTGA